TATAAAAACAATTTTACATATTTAATTAGATTTTTATGATAGAATAAAAGAATAAATGTTTTTTTTAAGTTCTAAATAAAAAAAATTCTGATTCGCATATTAAAATAAAAGATGAAATATAGCATATATAGATTTTTTTTATCAACCAAAATTAAAATAAATTTTTATATATAACAATAACAAAATTTGATTGTAAATATATAGTATATCAAATATCTAATTTCATTATAAATTAAATGAATAAAACATTGCACTAAAAAATAACAATAGAAAATTATTTTATAACTATAATTTGGCTATTATAAAAAATAATTTGTTAGTTACTGCACAACCAAATATTTATAATTTCAAATATTATTCATTTAATCATATATTATTGACATAATATATATGATGTTCTATGTAATCCTTAATAGTATACATTTTTTTAATATGCACACTAATTACCAGGTACTAGTTAATATTTGTAATAAAAGAAAATATTATTAAAAATGAATATGATACAATATTTTTTGGGGGAAACTGTGTACCTTTGGACAAAATTCATGTTCAAATTCATAATAATCCAAAAAATTAATTATTATATATAAAAATGATATATAATTTTCATTATTTTTACTAAAATATCATTTATAATTAAAATAGAATTAAAAATATAAATTCTAAAATTCTATGTTATATTATGTAACTTATTATTAAACGCAATTGTAAATATTTATATTTTAATTTTTTTTATAAATAATTTATGGCATTTTTTGAAATCTTTAATATATAAAAAATTTTATTGTTTCAATATTCAATGATACGTTTGTATTAAATTTTATATTAAATTGTAAAATTTTTTTAAAAATAAATTTATTTTAAAATTAATCTTATTTGTTATGTCCAAAGGTATATATATGTAAACAAATAAAGATAATTTAAAAAAAAATTTTAGAAGATATTTTTCTCTATATGATTTTTTAAATTACAACATTTATACTTTTTTTTGAATAAAACAATGGCTTATATTATTTGCTGCCATTATACAATTTGAAAAAGATAATTATAATTGCTAATAAATTAGAAAACTAACGTAATCATTTTTTTTTATATGTTGTGATTAAGCCATCATTATATTTTAAAGCTTAAACTAAAAATTAATCACGCGTTATTAATAAGCGAAAAGTCAAAAGGCACCATGTTCCCCAATATCTTAGAAATACTTGATTGCACTTTAAAACTGATTAAAACTGATTAAAATATCTTTACTACAAAATAATATAGTATGAATTTCAGATCGATAAATCTCTAATATATTACGTTTATAAATAAAATATGTGTTGATATTTTAAGAATTATAATCTCAATCAAAATGATTCATAGATTAATTTGTATAAATTCTTTTTCTCTTCTTAAATAATTCAAAGCGTTTTACGCTATAATAGAGGAATCTGAGAGCTTTCATATATTAAAACTTTAACACTTACTCTAAAAAAATCTCGATCAATAGATAAAAAAAGAGATCGAGTTGGAACGATTAAAATTTTTGAACAACCTACAGTTCATAATTATAAATGAATAATAACAAATCCATGGCTTAATTTGTTACATTTAAGACTAGAAAAAGTCCTCCATGGAGAGCATTTAAGATGATAATGCAAGGCCCAAACGAGCAAATGCCATTTCCTTTCGTAATCGAGTAATTTCCCAATAAACATCGTGAACTATAACAATAATTAAATTTTTTATATTATATAAAAGGAAAACTAAAATAACCAATATTTACCTGAGCTTTTAACAAGGCCGCGCTCAATATAGCGTAAATAATTCAAAAAATCGCAGACCGCTATGATCTACAAAAATATCATTTTGTTCAATATCTAATATTTTACAGTTAATAAATTATTTACAGAACTTAAACTCACTCGATTGCGACAGATTTGTGATATGCTATACCACTGATTTTCTTGATCCCCAAGTCTCATTCGATAATAACATTGACGTGGTGCTTCAAGTAATACACATTTTCTAAAAAAATGAAAAAAGAAGAGATATTTATGTTTCATAATAGTAAAAAAAAATAATATATCGATATTAAAATATAAGATTTAATAATAAGATTTACTTTGGAAAAGTGAATTTAGTTTTATCACTGATGGCTTCGATAAAAATGATACCATCAAGAACAGCTTGTCTAACTTTTGTACCCAATTCTTTGTTAGGAAAATCAAGACAAAGATCGATATCTTCTTTAAAAATTCTGTCAACGAAAGGATCACCTTTGTCTACACATGGATTGGCTTTCCATTTAAGAAATTCTGTATGTACTCTAGGATCAACTTCAAGGCCAAAATCTTTGCATTCTTTGTCTTTTTCTTTTTCTGAATCTTTTTTCCAATCTCTTTCTAATGTTTCTCGATCTGATGGTAAAGATGGTCTTTGTTCTTTTAGTGGAGAATCTGGTGGAGAACTCTCTCGACCATATTTTAAATTGAAATGTGATGGTGATCTAAATAAAAAAATATTTAGAATTTAATTTAAATACCATTAATTCTATTTATTGATATTTTTAACATTTAAGAAGACATATTTAAAAAATATTTAATATAATGTTTATAGTAATTATAAATATATTTGCACCTTCTATGTTTTCTTGCAAAAAGTCCTTGCTGATTATCCTCATTGTTAGGACGACTTTTCGTATCAATTTGCGGATGTAAATGAAAGTTTGGTTTAGCTGGCGTCGAAGTTAATACCAATGTTTTTAAAGCTGCCACTTCAGCAGCTAAAACTTCAGCTTTCATACGACTTTCTTCTAATAGACGTTCTGCGGTAGCTTGACGAATATTTGCTTCTCGCACCATATTATGTGCCTCCTATATAAAATTTTGGTTAAATTCTTTATTTCCTTTTATATAATATATTAACAAATATCATTCATGAAATTTACTTGAAAGAGACTGGCAGTGAGTTCCTCCAATTCAACTTCAACATCTTGCTTAATTCTTGAAAGTCTTGTAACTTCTTCATCTTTCAATTTTAACTCCTCATGTGCTCTTTTGAGTTCATCTTGTAATTTTGCTACAGCATGTTCTTTTACTTCAGCTATAGCTCTACCCCATTGTAGAGTAGTTGGTGAGGGTGGTTCTTTTTCTTGAGAGTTCTGGAAATATTGATATTATTATTGTAATATAATATAATATGATTAATGATGTAATATATTGAATTACGAGAATTTACTTGAGATTCCTTAGTATATAATAATACTTTTGAGGAATTATTGCAATAATTGAGTTTTGTTGAATCATTAATAGAATCTTTGTGGTTTATTATTTCGGCATCTTCTTTATCAAATGTGATAGATAATGGCTTGATACAATGATTTTGATTTTCATATAATTTATGTTCATTCTTGTTTAACCTTGCCAAAGTGTCACACGAGTTTGTAAGTTTTCTTTCTTCCATCGTTGGTGAATTTCAATATCGCAATAGAACATTGTGGAGTTTTCTAATATACGTAAATACAGAAGTGGTCTTGGTTGAACTGGAACTTAAAAAGATTAATCAGTAAAATAAAAGAAATATTATTTAATCTAAAAATAAATTATTTTAAGACCAACATTTTTAAAAATATAATTTCCTAAAATATTTTTGTAAGTAGTGACAAATGATTAAGATAAAGGTATATTACACAATAGTATACATATATTGATTTGTAGGTTTAAAAAAAGAAATAGTGCTATATAAATCACATTGCTATATTAAAATAAAAATTAATTGGTAACTTTTTCTTTAAATAAATCTATTTTAATTTGATAAAAATTTTTGCAAAAGAAAAATGCATGTTAATAAAATATATCATTTTATTAACTTCGTAAAAAATTGAAATAAAGAAGATAATAAATTCTTATTAATGTTTTCTATTATATATATCAAAAACATAAGTATTTTAATTATAATTTTGTTGCATATCTTTCATACTTTAAGTAATACTAAAATACTCTATTTCGGCAATTAAAAGTATAGCGAAAATAATTCCGTTAATCAAACATTTTTTTATTTACATAAACAAATTATTATAATACATACAATTATTATAATATAAATTTTATTAATTTTATTTCAATATATAGCAATTAAATAATATCAGTAAAATTCATTGATAAAAAACGAATTCGCGCTTATCGATCCAAAGTTGCTGTGATTCTAAGCTTAGCAGCATCCTACAACTTACCCATAAACCTTCCTTTATGCAACTCTCCTGCCATTAGTGGATCTGACGAAAATCATCAAATAATATCAGAGAGAAAAGCGGAACGACATAAGATTTTTTCCACAATATGTCAACTTCGTGTCAATGTGTAAAATGAAAGAATACCCATCACCCTTTCATGACCCGCAACACGGCCCGACTGAAGACTTGAAGTGTCACATAGTCACATAGACAAGAAGAATGAACTTTCATGCGCCACAGGTTACCCACTGTTAAATGCTCGTACTACCTCGTACCAGCTCGTACTTGTGCTCCGTAGATTATGAAGTCATT